TGAAAACGGACACTTTTCCCCTTGTAGGGTAACATGGGTTAGTGCTGGTGAAATGTACAAACTAGACCGTCCCAATCTGAAGCCCCTAGACACCAAGACAGGCAGAGCATGGGCAGAGTGCGCAGACGCCTGCCTCCTAATCTGGAAAGAACATCTTCACAGGTGATGAGTGGGTCGTTAGCTAGCCCTGCTTATTGCATCCTTAGCCTCTCTCCGCTTCTAATTACCCCATGGATAGCGTTCTGCTTAACAATGGACTGAGACCTCCCACTTTCATACTGACCATGGCACAATCATCAGATGGGCAGGACATCTGAGGTCACTAACGAGCTAGGCTGGCTTCAAACCAGTGACCTGGTGATAAACAATTATGTGTCTCATTTGTAGTGACTTACTGTTCATCCTCAGCTAGACACTGCCCGAAGGGGAGAACCACTCTGAATTTTGTTTAATGTAGATTGTTCTGTCAACTCCTGGAAAATGGAGATAATGATATTTTCCTCACTCTGAGATCTATGGACTATATCTACCATCTAGACATTATTACTCAACTTGAGTAAAGGTATCAGAATCTGGTCCTAAATACATAAAACAAAAACTGTAACATCCAAGTAAACAGGGAGGGATGCAACATTGATATCAGTACACAGCAGGTCAGGCTCCCAAAAGATTTGCAAAGCGAAGATAGAGAAATATGCTTTCCACTCCCCTACTTCCCCCAAAATGTTATTAACCTGTCCCCGTCCCCCCATCACCCTCCATAAATGTTCTTTGTTTACAAAGGTAACACACCCAGATATGAGTTCTCTTCCCCTATACGTGAGACTGACCAGGACTGGTGCCAGTAGTTTATCGATAGTATTACATATGTTCCAGCAAAGAACAACTTTGTTATGAAAAGGAGAAGCAGTCGTGCTTCTGGGGCTAGCCTGTGATATTGAATAGTACCCTGCACCATGAGTCAACGGGACACCTGAGTACAGCACTGCTTAGTGTAAGGGTAGTGTAATTGGACCCTTCATTATAATCCTCTGGCCCTTATGACCCTGAATGTTAAGGGACTTCAATATTAGCCATCACTGAGTGGGAAAATCTGCTCAGCTCTATGACTGACCATGGGTATTTCTGCCCTTTTCTTCTCTTCTTTCCCATTCTTCTGTTCCTTTCTTTTTCCCCTTCCCTATATCGCTTCTCCTTTGAATCTCTCCCCCTGCCCCAAAGTGCCTGTTCCCCACTCCATCTGGGGAATTAATCAATCAGCACTGAAATAATTAACATTAAGGGCCAGATTGCCAAAGGTGCAGAGCACCCAAATTCTAGTTGAAATCAACCAGAGCAGCAGGTACTCAGCACTGACAAAAAGTCAGAGCTTGAAAGTGTGATCAGGAAGCTATAAAGTTGACATCTCAGGGAGGTAATGGGATCACATCTGCCCCTGGGGAAAATCACTGTTTTAGTTTAGAGACCGACTACATTTCTGAAAGTTCTTTGAAAGCGTAAGAACTAGAGTTAAAGTGAAAGCTGAAAGTGAGCAGGATCAGAACCTGTCATGGATGTCACATAACCACATAAAGTGGGCTGGGTGGTTGAACCAGGTTTTCTTCATTACTTTCACTACCTCCTCCAATGAAGGCCTGGGACAAAGTCCTTTAAATCAGTAGGACTCTTTCCTTTGCTATTTAATAATACGTGCAAGTGGGGAACCCCTGAGTTTGATGTGAAGTAGGTTTAGATAAATCCACTTTCTCCCCCAAATTAATTTTTTTAAGGAGTCGATATAGCTGGTAAAGTCTCCTGATTTCCAAGAGGAAGATTGTTGAGCTAAATACTGTGTGGGGATTTAAAAAAAAAAAAAAATCAATTACTGGTCATTTTTTATGTTTTGTAGATTAATGTCTAACCCTGGAGGTTTTCCTTTCCTGGCAGATTTGGACAGCACGCAACTGCTCGTTCAAGTGACTTTCATAGGTCAGATAAGAGTAGCACATAGGCTGGGAGCACTTGCTTTGTCTGTGAGTCTCCCCCTGCCCCAAAGTCACAGGAGTAAAGCCCAGTGCAGAGTTAGTTTGGAAATTAAGACATGGAAATCCTCAGAGAAAGCACTGTCTTGCACTACCCAGTATTACTAAACCTCCCAGCAGCCCTGACAGCCTAAATATTCTCCTGCTTTTGGAACTGAGCGGTAAATGGTTTACCTTAAAGTTACGGTGGAAGTTTGTGATGGGGCAGGCTCTCGATCACAGATTCACATGGCTGCACTTCCCTGCACAGGACCATCCTTCCACCTGGGAAGGGTTATTTAGGCCATTCCAAGATGAGCAGTTCATGTTGAAGGGAGAGAGAATCGCTTCTCCCTGCCTCAAGTGAGCATCCCACCTTGTGAGAGGCAAGATTGATTGCTGGTGTGTAAATCCTTCAGCATAAGGAGCAGTCACACCCTTGCATTCGTCAAGATTCCCCTCTGTGCATTTAGAGCTGTTCCACACTAGTTTGGGAAGGGGTGAACTTTTCACACTGAAGTCTACAGACTACTGGTGCTCCATAGAGGACTACTTATTATTTCCAGGGTGTAAGATCAGTAGTTTCTTATGTAAGAAGGTAATGTTAAGTGCCACAAGCATGCTGTGTGACCTCCAATGGGATGGGGGGGGGCAGGGGTTGCACATGAGACCTTGAGGATGGATCCCCCACAGCAAGAGGGCCAGAAGCTCCAGGATAGAATCATGCGGATAGAAGTGTAAGGCTTAAGAGCCAGACTTTAAAAGCAACTTCATATTCTTACCTGTTTTCCCCGTTCCACCCCCTAATGTGGATTTTTTTTTTTTAAAGCCAATTCCTCCAGGCAACCACTGATTTTAAGTTACAAGACAGCTCATTCAATCTTTAAATTCAGAAGAACACCACATCTCATTACTTGGATTACCTTTTTGGACAGACCCTATTTATCTAACAAGCAAATCCAAGAAGGAGCCAGGACTAGTTTGGAAGCGTTAACGCTCCAAAAAGGCTTGATCAGTTGTAGTAGCTAATGAAAGCTTTAGTTGCTACATCAAATTAGTCTGCAGCAAAGCAGTTTAGGATTGTTAAGTGATTTTACAGCTAGCATGTCTGGAATACGAATGACAGCCAGCATCCAGTTAGGACCCTCAGCCTAATGGGGTTATTTCAGGACCAGTCAAGTGACACTCTGGAAGAGGGTCTAAACTCACTTCAGAGAGCAACATCTTAAGGTCAGTAGCTAATTTGATGAGCTGGAGACTCAACCATGCAAACAGTATTAAGTGTTGCCTGACCTACAGAGTTCAGTAGATATTTGTAACATTTAATATTAACTGTTTCTCCATAACGTAGCCAATTTAGATTTCCATGCCTTTGGAGCCTTCCATCTGCTAAGTATGGAAGTGTTGTTTTTACTTTGCAAGTCTGGTATGAAAAAGAAACTAGAAGCTTTTTAAATGTGTCAATTCACCTTTAATGTTTGAAAAATAAAGAGATATTTGAGCAATTGCAGTTATGAAGGGAACATCTCTTGCTCCACAGAAGAGTGTGAACAGGTTCACATCAGACTCATGCTTGGAAAAACAAACAAACATTCTCCTTTTTAGATCAAAAGTGGAGTTCTGTATAGACAAAAGTCGCCAAAGTGCCCTGGTTAGTCCAAGGCATCTCACCCCCAGATTGGAAGTTTTCTGTCAACGTGAAATAAATTAAGACACCACATCCTGTCTAGTTACAACATGGTTCTATCAATATTACAAAGTTAGGTATACTTTGGATTTTGCACAGTCTACAGACACAAGGACTTTTACTTCAGGAAGAAGTCAGCCTGGGTCATCAAGTCATTTCACAATTAATAGCTACACTTTCTCCCTTCTCCCAATACATCAAACAAAAAACAGTGGCATGTTACTTTCAACAATCAACTTGGTTCATCTCGAGAGTTAGGAGTCACCTTGCACTAGAACAGAATTCACTCCATTCTAGAAATTTTGCCCATATTAACCACCAATCAATAGGCTCTTACTGCAAGCACCAGGTTTTGCAGAAGCCACCACAGGTGTTTTGTTGTTTGTTTGGGTTTTTTTTTTTTTTGGGGGGGGTGGGGTGGGGGGGAGACTGACACCACCCTAGGATGATCCAGAAGAACCTTCTTGCAGTTTGAACTAGAAGACAACACCGCTGACCCTACTGGAGATAACGACCTTCTGTCTTCTGAGAATATATTCAGAAGTTTCCCCTCACAAAACAGCTTCTGCTAAGAGAGGAGAGAGATTTGGAACACAGAAGCTATTCCTGAAGGATTTTCCACTGTAGCTGATGGAGACAACAGTGGCCATCTCCAAGTCTTCCAGATGACTAGGTTACTTTAGGGAAAGACCTGAGTTAAGGCAGTGTTGTCTTGATAAAGACATGCCCGATCAAGTCTTTCAGATTCTAGTGTCAATCACTACATTTAAAATTTTCTAGTCCATTTTGGAACAGAGGCCAGTTGGCCTAAGAGAGTTAGTCTCAGTGGCAGCAACTAAGATCTGGATCACCCCATCACCAAGCAGCCAAGGCCAGGAGATCCTTCCTCCTACAAAAAAAACCCAAATAATAATTTAGGGGGAACATTTAAGTTTCAGACTAGATTAAGTTGCTGTGAGTTTGGTTGATCCATGTAGGCTGATCTGAGGGCAGTGGTGTGGGCATTTTCTACAGAAAACATCAAGGCCCAGTTGTATGATTTGCCATGCAGTCCCAAGACAGGATATACTTTTTTGAATGAAAACCTTGTTAAAAAGCCTCCCTGCTAACTCACATGGGCATTATAAGGCCTCTCTCCCCACCAACAGCTGAGATGGCCAGCGAAGCCAAATTGACACAGCTCCCAAATCCAACCCACAGACTAAAACTGAAAAGGAAAGTTGACGTTCCTCCATCGATACACACACAGACGTTGAGAGAGTCTAATAAGAGTATTTACTATGAACGCAATAAGATCTCTTTTTGGGCTGCTGAACAAAAAAAAAGTGTTTTCCCGCCTTACCCAAGAAAAGGTTACCACGGGGGAAGCTGTTTGTGGAACAGGTTTATTTCTTCCCACTGAAAGGCCATTGTTTAAGCATTTACAGTTTTCCCTAGTGCAATACAACCCAAAAAAAAAAAAAAAAAAAAACCAAAAAGCAGTAACAAAAAATGCTGCCTTCTTCCCAGGCAACTACACAGAAGTAGATTTTACTGCAACATATACACATTAAATATAGTATACAGTCCATGCAGCGGCACAGCCATGTTAAAGGGAATCTTGGCTTCAGCCATCAGTGCATTACAGTCCAAATTTCACTGGCTCCGACTTCCTATCCAGACTTGAACAGAAGAATTGCAACCTGACCCAAGTAAAAATAGATGAAGTGCTTTGTCTCATGTGTTACATAGCTGCCAAAATTTCTGCCAACAATGCAGTGCCAGGTAGGGTTGTATTTCTTGTCAAATTCCTAAGAGGGAGAGAGAGTACAGTAGTTAAGACCAAGAAAGCCCACACCAGGACAGTCTGAAATATACATTCCTAACCGGTTACTGTTAGATACAAATGCAATGGAAATCTGAAGACACACAGGTGGATGCAAGCTACTACTACATTACTGACATGCTAATTAGCAGGCGACAAAAGTGCCGCACTGGAGTGTGGAAGAGTTCCTATGCCAGGTAGTTATTGGAATGATTTATACACAAGCTCCAGGCCATAACTGCAGATTTTAAAAGTCCCCTTGACACAGTGGTATTCAAGCCACATGCATAGGCCAGTTGTTCCACAGAACCGTTTAAACCCTCCCATTCCAAGCTGACTCACAGAAACAGTATTTTGGAATGCTTGTTCCAGTAAGCCACTGGAGTATGCATCCGATGAAGTGAGCTGTAGCTCATGAAAGCTTATGCTCAAATAAATTGGTTAGTCTCTAAGGTGTCACAAGTACTCCTTTTCTTTTTGCGAATACAGACTAACATGGCTGCTACTCTGAAACCTGGATCTTAAAGGTCACTTGAAAAAGGAAAAAAAAAAGGCAGGCTTCAGGCATTCTTCATAAAGCAGCAGAAGAGTTTGTGAGGAGACTTTCTAATGTAAACAAGCAGAATAATTCACACATTGTCTGCCTTGGGAAGACTTCAGCAAAGCCGAACGCTGAACAAGTGAAGTAGTGTTTCATTGGGATAAACAATTTAAATAATTTAGCAATTGAGAGGGAAGGATTTCTGGTAAGGATTGAGAGCTCTCATCCCTTCAGTTAAGACGGATGTCCCATGACCCAGTCTTCAGGCAAAACTAGGGAAATATCAGACTCAACAATCCTGATTTTGGAGGGGAGGGGGGGGAGGAGGAGGAAGAGGGTAAAAGAGTGAGAAAGCTTCAGACTATACACCAGAAAGCAGCAAGGCACCAACAACAAAGACAGCTGAAGTCCTTTGCGAGTAACCTTTCTTCCATTTCATGTGCAGTAACACATTTCCTTTATATTAGCAAAGGAAGCAAATATGCAACAAGCCATTTTCTTTCCTGAGCTTTAGTTGTCTGAGGTTTTATTCCATTCCCTTGTTGCACTGTCCCAAGAGCCTTCTGGATTAGTCACTTTTTTGACCTGGAAAGGCCAGATTTTAAGAAAATATAAAAGATATGCTCAACTTGTTAAGACCATAGAATTTCAAATTGAATTAGAGTTGAACAGAGTTAAATAGTTTCAGGTCCCACATTGGGTCCCAAACCCCCGGCCTACTTTTGGCTTTATAATAATATTTTCCTCTGTTTCCCTCCCCTCAATGCTCTCTCCCTTGTTGCTGTGTGAAGGGTCTACACAAACAGGGGAAACCAACTATGCCACAAGATGCCATCAAATGCATAAGGTCAACAAACTGAAAGATACTTTAATTAGTCAGTTCCTCTAATCTTCAGGGGTTCCTCAGATAAATCCAGGTAAAGAGTTCAGACAGACATGAGATGTTTAAGTTGCATCATCTCCGCAGGCCAGCTCCATTCACCTCAATTAGAGCTGGTGCTCAGAACTTTCAAAAACTCAGTGTTAAGAATATGTCAATAGGTAGAGAAGCCTGGGGCAGAGGGGGGGGGGAGAAAGAGGGTGAAAGTGGAAGTTTACTTAGCCTAGAAATGCTATGCAGAAGCAAGTAAGTTTCACTTGACTAGATGAGTTGGGTTTTGTTTGTTTTAACTACAGTAGCCACACAGAGTTTAAATCAAGTCACACCTTCCAAAGATTCAGAAGATTGCAGAGAGATAGCAACAATACGGTAAGTCGCTACTTAAGGTAAATAGCAACCAAGTCCTTTTAGCTTGGCTAGCCAGAAAGAATGGTCCATTGGTTAAGGTGCTAGCTGAGAACTTGGAAAACCTGAGTTCAAGACTCTCTCTACCTCAGACTGCCTGTCTGATTGGACCCAATCATAGAATCAGACTCAGCTGCCATCTGAGAAACAGGGATAACAGCACTGTCCTATCTCAGAGGGGTATTGTGAGGCACTCCAGTACTATGGGGATGACTTTGATAGTCAACATATCCCAACGAACCTATGCCATTTTATAGCAGCTACATAATACCTTCTTTATATAGGCTGCAATGTCTTTCTCGATGTTGTACTTCTCCATTGCCTGCGTAGCACAGTCTACAGCATCCTGCTGCATGTCCTCAGACATGTCTGCATTCTTGATCACAGCCTTTCTGTCAGACATTGTGAACCTAAGGAAGAACATGAAGTATTAAGATGTGCCCATAGGATTCTGCTACAGTTCTTTCATGCATTAGAATACAGTGTCTACATGATGTAAAATAGTCCTGGATACAGCGTTCTGTATTTATATTGCAGGATACACCAAACCCATCTTGCCCAGCATCTGGTACTAGGCACACTACACAGTATATCCTAGGATATACTATTAGGTTGTGGAATGCTGTAGTACATGAAGCTACTGAGAGATTAGACTAGAGACAGCCAAGTATCACCACTTGTACATACATTTTTAGCTTTAAAAACCCATAAATCCTATGCAGAGATCTTCTACTCCTTTAAGTTACAGGAACAGCAGTCCTGCAAATCATAAGCAATGGCTAAAACCACATTTCCTTACAGGTATAGCCAATGGAGTGGAGCAGTAATATGGCTCTACCAACAGCAGCCCCCAGACTATGTTTGTCTCCACATTGATTATAGGTCAATGCATTCAATGGATATAGTAACAGAAACCTTTAGTATTTCACTCAAGTGTGTACACATTCCCTTTAAATGTAAGGTTAAGGGTCATACGTTCCAGCTGTTCTTGCTAGTTCAGACCAGAACTGCAGCAGTTTCAGATCTAGTTTACCTCCCTGTGTCATGGATTCCCTTTTGCACTTTGCTCAGCTTAAGCAATGAAACCTAAACAGTTTTGCTTGTGTCTCATGCACTGCACAACACTGCGATATTGGGATGTTAGGGTTGACAGTTCTGCTGTGGAACAATGCTTCCATCCAAGACAAGAGAGCCTACCTGGGACCTTTTAAGAGCCTGAACTGTGGCATGCTGGAAAGAGGTAACACACCCTGTCACTCTGCTAAAACTAGTTAGGGAGTTCTAGGCTAGCCAGTGATAAGCCACCCATATGTAGTTCTCAGATCCCCTGCTAAGGGCACAGCCACTAGTTGTATATGCAATTTACTGTTTCAGTCCTTACTCGGCCAAAACACCCACTAAAAACAAACTTGTGAATTTTGCCTGAGCTAAGAGTGGACCTGTGTTGATTAGTACTTTTGATGTATGACCCATTTTAACTAGCACATGGGCTACATACAGCCACTTTGAACTCAGGTCTCCATTGTTATTTTGGTGGAACAACTGGAGAATCAGGCATGATATTGGACCAGTTTAGAGCCTTCATTTGAAGGACTACACAAGTGAAGGGCAGCTGTCTAGATGGTGCCCACGGCTGCTGGTTATCATATTTTGCTTTACCATAGGATCACCACAAAAAAGTTACTTACGTTTTAAGGATGTAGCCTTTTTACGGTGGAGAATGTGTCAAATTAGGTTTGCAGAGCTCCATTAAGTTTACAGTGCCATAACAAGGCTTAGTAAATCTTGAGCTATATTACTCGCACTTTATGTTTGGAGGTAGGAAACCCATACGTGTTTAACTCCATTAAGGAGACAGTCTGCTACAATGATTGTTTCCTAGAGCAGTCCCAGAAAAACTGAAGGAGTAGCTTTGTTATAGCAACTAAAGGAGCCTGTTATCCAGAGAGAGGACGAAAGAAAGAATCTAGTTACATAACAGCCCTATGACAACAATGCTTCAATTCTTTATTCTGCCTGCAGTTGAAGACTCCTAGTGCTCTAATTTATAGATTTTAGATACCATGTATAATTGAGCATTGCTATTAACACGCACTAATAGCATTAAAGGAATAGGATGGGAATTCATCTAGAATGCCAGGAAAGAGCACATGCATTTGAGAGAGTTTTTAGGAAACCAGTCACAGGTGCCTTCCACCCCCCACCCTCCCAGATGATTGGGGTTTAAAAATCACTGTTTAGCAGGAGGGGGTAGATTTGGAGCCTCAAGTATGTCAACAACCACAAAGGAAAGCCCTAGAGAGACAGCCAAGCACCCAGGACAAGCCACATGTGGCTGCTTCAAGAGTCAATTCAGAGGCATCTGTAATTACAGGACTGTCAGTGAGAGACCTGCAGAAAGGGTCCTCCTTCCTGGTTCTTATTTAGAATGGGAATTCCTGGAAGCAGGGACAAGCCTGCCAAGCACTAGTCCTGCAACAACTGAAAATAACTCCCTTCTGCTAAGTATGTAGATGTCTCCTCTCCTTTCCTCACCCGCCCCTTTTTGAGCCATACTCGCCCCTCTCCTGGCTACAACATCCTTTTCACGATAGCAGCTGAGTGAGGATGCTGCAGACACTGTTGTCTGGAAAGGGGAGGGTGGAAGCGTGAACAGGTTAGGGAGCAGCACGCAGAGCCACAGCACCAGAGGCCAAACATCATTCTCCTTGGCATTGCCAAGCACAAGTACTCCACCTGCAGATCAGAACAGCAGCTCCTCCCCTAGCCACAGGGCTGGGCCTTAACAATACCACAACACCCCTCATCCTCCTAGAAAGGGCCAGAGACAGCTCACTCCCTACCCAAGGAGGCTTGGCTGCTGTTGCATTTTCCAGGGGGAGAAGCCACCAACACAGGCCTCAAGAGAGGCTGGCCCAGGCAGAAACTGACACTTAAACTCATGGGGAGAAGCTGATCCCTGAAATAATGCCACAGAACAGGTAGAATATTCGCCCTTTCCTATAAGGGAGGGAGCCTTCCTCTTTACCCCCGAAACAGAGACCAGAGCCACCTCCTACTAGCACAGGACCGGTCCCCACACCACCCTAGTGCGTTTCCTCCAGCGGCAGCCCCGCCACTGTTAAGCTGTCCCAGGGGAGGAGGTTTCCATGCAGTCCCCAGCAGCCCAAGGCTCGAGGAGGTCTGGAGGGGCGAGAAGAGGCGTGACCTGCACTTTCCGAGCCCCCAGGGGAAGCGTCTAGAGCTCGGCTCACGAAGATGACCTTGCCTTCGGAGAACGCGGATACTCGGCCGGGACAGGGCAGGCCAGATGATGCAGCCCCGGCTGAAAGCCACGGGGTGGGGGCTGCATGGGAGACCCATCCATGCCCCGATGGAAACGGAGTCATCGGAGCAGCAAAGCCGCCTCCGGCTGCGAGAAGGGGCTGAGCAGAGGGGTCACCCAGAGGCTGCAGCAGGAGGAAGGGGGAGTGGGAGGAGAAGGAGGGGGTGGGGAAATCTGAGCAGCTCCAAGGAAGGGGGCAGCTCCCAGGGGCAGGGCGGCCAGGTGAAAGCGAGGGGGGGGCGGGGTGCAGCCGCCAGCTGGAGCCGTGTGGGGGCTGGAGAGAGGTGCAGCCACCCCCCGGATTGCAGCCCACTCGCTTCCCACCCCCACGAGTTGCAGCCCCGGGGCGGGGGGAGAGAATTGCAGCCCGGGAGGGGGCGCCCCCTGCCCTGCTCGTGAATGCACCAGGCCCAAAAAAAAAAAAAAAAACCCCAAAACAAAAACACCCACCCCCCGCGCGCCGGGCGCGCTCGGCTCACCTGCCCCGCGGGAGTCACCGGCAAACGGACCCGAAGCGCCTCCGCCGCGCACTGGCTCTGGCACCGGCTTCCCCCCGCTGCGCTGCCGCCCTGTGCCCCGCTCAGCCCGGCGCTCGCTCGCTCTCCGCCCAGCCGCCTCCCCCGCGCTGAAATAGCCGCCCCGCCCCTTGCAGGGGCTCCGCCAGCCGCCCTCGCCATTGGCTGCGGCGCGGCCTCGGCCCACCGCGACCAGCGTTCTCCCCTCGCCCGTCTCTGCCTACATCTTGTTTCATCCCACAATGCCGCGAGCAGGCTGCGGAGCGCGTCTGGCTCACGAGGTGGAGGGGGTGGAGAGCGAGCGGCGGGGGGGGGGAGAGTAAATAAGACTCAGGGATTGGGGTGGCCTGGACCTGCGGGACCTTCCTGCAAAAGACCTGGTTCCCTGTGGGAGCCTCGTGCATTTTTTTGGGGGGGTGTGTGTGCAATCAACAGATTTACTGCTCGTTCTGGGGCCTGATGGTGCTCCGGCCCCAATGCAGTGTAAACCCCCTGGACCGAAGTGGAGTCACTCTGGATCATAACCGGCCAAGTGGCCTAAGCTTAGGTCAGATTCAACCTCGCCTGCGTTCTACACGCCAGCTAGGATGACTCCCCTCCTCTCCCCCCCCCCGTGTCACATTGGTTGCTGACAAGTATTGACATCAGAAAGTGAGGGCGATGGCCATTGTTATTTGCACTAAAGTAATGGACCCAACATCCATTTTGGTTTCCTGCACTGTTCATTTTTTTGTGAGTGCCTCGTTTTGGGTCTTTGTCGCACACAGTCCCTGTATTTGGACTTTGGATTGCTCTGGATTTACACCTCTGTGACCAGGAGCAAAATCTAAGCGCTTGTCCTGAAGGCCTGATTCTGATTTAATTTACACCAACAGGTTTCATGCTGATGTGTCCCTGTGGATGTCAGCGGAGTTACTCCAGGAGGAGATCAGTGGGGCCTCTTAAGTCCAATCACTGTGTCTGGCAAGGATATAGGACCAGTGCTTTACTCTGTGTTTGCTTGTCTGGGTGCATTCGTCGTGCTTTGTGGTTTTATCACGGAGCGGTGGTGCCGCATGTCAGCTCTGATGTGCACTAATAATAGGACTATGCACTGGCTCAGGGAGATCAGTATTGTATTCCTGGGTCTCCGAAAGATGCCAGGGCACTTTTTATACAAGAAGGGATTTGCTGCAGTATCTTTGGCCATAGAAATCTCCCCGCCTCACGGTGGCGTGCACTAGTCATCTGTGCTCTTCACCCCAGAAGTTGGTGCATTTCCATAGTGCCATATGTATACAGGATCTTATCCTGCAACTGGATCTACACAAGCAGATCCCTGCACCCATATAAAGCCTCAGAGTTCAGGGATCCACACGCATGGATCTGATTGCAGGATCGGGGCCATAGTTTGTAAAGTATTCTTGGGATGAAAGGCATTACATAAAGTAAAAAGTGTTTTGCCAGTGTTAATTAATTGTAATGATACTGCACGCTTCTACAGCGCCTTCCACCGGAGTGTATGACAGACATTAATTAAGTAAGCCTCACAAAATGCTCCTGTGAGGTAGGTAGGCAGGCAGTATTACAGTGTCTCTCATTTACAGAAGAGGAAATTGAGGCACGGAGAGAGTGCGTGATTTGTCCAAGATCACACAGCTTGTTAGCAGCAAAGTCAGGAATAGCTCCTGTGTCTCTTAATGCCCAATCATGTGACCCTCCTCCTTCCATTGACATTATATCAAAAGCCACTTGTAAGGACCTCGGATAGAAATGTACTATTGATTGACACCCTGCGGTGCCTCTGCCACAACATCTCTAGGGCAGGAACAACACATATTCAAAACCCTACCATACACAAGGACAGCAGAAGAGGCAGGTCTGTCCTTTGTCCAACAGGTATGGCACTGCGCTAGGTGTCAGGATTCCATTTTTGGCTCTGATGCTGACTTACTGGGTGACCTCGGGCAAGTGACATCCATCTCCCTGGGCCTTAGTTTCTCCTATGTAACCTGAGGATAATGATGCCCTCCTTCATCAAGTGCTTTCAGAACTCATTTGTCTCGACGGGACTTAAAGGACTCCTCACCATATAAAAACCAGGTGAGGCCTTTGACCAAACTGAGGAGGACTGGCTGTTTCTGGAGGTCTAGATATCAGTGGTGGCCAAGAGTGCTTCTCCTGACCATTCCTTGTCTTGTGGAACTGGTGACAGGTTGGAGGGAAGGGGGGTGTCTCATGTCTAATAGTGAACTCCAATTTGCTCGGTAAACCCCATTTTGTTTCAGGGGTTCTGCTTTGTATTGTAATCTTCATTATGCAGTGTGACCTTGATGTTCTATTGTAGCCTCTTTTGTGGATTAGAGCATCTGGAAGCTGGCACAGAACAATGTAGTGCCATCAACATTGCATAACTCTTCCCTTCTAGAACAATGGATTTTCTACCAGAAGGGCTATTGACTTTGAATGATTCTCTGCACAGAAGCTGATGGGATAGGGGCTCGAACCCAGAATTCCTCCATCTGAAGCACACAGGCCACAGGAGGAGAAACACATGCCAGAAGATCAAGCTAAGAAGGAAGGCAGGAAAGGCTGCATCACCTCTGGTCGCTGTCCAAACCCAGGACTTATGGAGGGGTGAGATCAGATTTGGAGGGCTGCATTCAGGACTCTTTGCTATGCAAAGATCTGTAACTCTCCAGTGTGCTTTGTTAAGAGTAAAGTGTTTGTGGTTAACAAATTTCTCTGTTAAGACTGTGTTCCTGTCTTTCCTGCCATGTTAATTGAGAAACCAGAACTCCCACAGCCAGGTGAATTCTGGGGGAATGTGTCTAAGCAGCTCAGGAGATCTAAAGCACTTGTTCCAGAGCTCAAGGTGGCTGGACTGCAGGGTTTCACTGCCCAAATAGGGTGTCAGATAGGGGATCTGCACATGGGAGAACCAGACCTAGAAACAGTGACCAGTGATTATCAACTAGTGCAGAATGTAGTTGGCCCATTTTCTTAGCAGTGTTTTGCATGTGGAGTACATGTGATTGTACTGTGCAATTCAAGGTTATGGTGCTGATCTATAAAGCCATCTATTGTTTGGGTCCTGGGCATCACTACCTCTCTCTTTGTGCTTTAACCCATCAATTGAGATCAGCTGGGACACTGAAGCAGACAAGTCCTCAGATGCATATCTTTACGGGTTAGAGGGAGCAGTGTTTGCAGTGCAAGGTCCTCAGCTCTGGAACTCATTTCCTAACTCAGTCTAAGAGAGCCATAGTTTGTTGGCCTTATTATGCAGACAAAACTACACAGGATCGTTTCAGGGGACAAGACAAGATGTCACGTTTATTATAACACAATTTGATTTATGACCAATAACTAATATCTAATACCTATGTACACACACACACACACATCAAATGTTCTGCTGTGTAGTTACCAGTCCTGAATGTAGCTTGAGTTCGTGGCTTGGGTTCATAGCTTGAGGCAGCTAACCGGCCAGGAAAGCCGGGCACAAGGAAGAGCTGGGTCTCTGTCGGGCATGCACCAATGCACTTCCATGTTGGCAGCAGAATGTTACCCTCCAAAGTCTTCCATCTCACCCATCCTTTTTGTAGGCTTTAGTTTGAATCCAGAGTCTATAGGTCTTGCTGTGTCATGCTGCCTCTGGGTCCGGTGTGATTGATCACCCATCAATTGCAGACATGACTTTCAGCCTAGGACCTGGCTTTGATTTTTCTTCAGTTGTACTTTTGTTCTTTTCTTTTTAGGGTGGCCTCTTCTTGCTTTGTCAGGGCTGTTGTCTGCATCTTCAGCTGCTGCTGTTTACACTTCATTTCACCAGGACAGGCTGGGGCTGGAGGTTGATTCCATCATCCATACATACCTCATTCACACATCTAAACTACACTAATAAGATTGCAAAATGAAGGTTGCAGCAGGGTTTACAAAATGGAGTGAGCATTTTAAAATGGAGTTTGGGACAAGTTAAAATGGAGTTTGAGTTACAATATGGACAAGTGTAAGGAATGGCAAACAATGAGCAGAAGTTACAATGTTGAAACAGTGTAAGTTTCAGTGATTTAAGCAGCAATTGGATTGAAAGTGAAACTCAATTAGCCAGTTATTGGGGTACCTGGTTTTATGAATGAATGTAGTTTCATTCATAAAACTTTGCCTATGAAGTTATATTAATAAAGTGAACAATTAAAAACAATTTCATTGATCAGTTCTACATTGTGGGCATACATATTTCAGTCTCTCTTTTCTCAGGCTTTTCCTTTTTCATGGTGAAAGGAAAGGTCACAGGAAAGCCCAGGAAAGATGGTAAGGAGGAAATAATGCCCTTTGCTAAAGCACCATCTCTACCTCCTGCAGGAGCCTAAGTTTACCTTGAAGATTTCCCATCCAAACAGACCTAGCTCTGCTTAGCATGGGAAATCTGATAAGATCACAATCCTATGTGGTGCAGCTGCAGACAAGTGTACCTCTCCCAAACCGGGACATGCCGCTTACAGCAGCTTCATCTCCAGTCACCACAGGACCTTCTGTAGCCAGTTTGTAGCTGTTTAAACTTGGCTGTGGTGGCAGTAAACATAAGAACCCTAAGACATTTCTGAACTAAAGGGCATTTAAAGGAAGCAGAGATCTCATGAACATCCCCTAGCCGATTCAACACCTTGAAAAGACAGATAGAGAGCACCCCAGGTTAGTGAGGCCACTCTATAGGGGAGAATTGGAAATAATTACTTTTTCATACCCCTATATCCTCAAAGAAGGTATAGGAATCCCGTCTGTAGGTAAAAAGAGAGAGTAATACAAAGGAACTGGGAGCAATAAGACTATTAAATCCCAAATGTTTCACATACACTTAAAAGCCAAGTTAGGAAGAAAACTCCCCATTCATCTCTAAATCAAGGTGAAGGGTTGTGTTGTTCCAGTTTTATGTTAGGGTAACTCTGCTGCCCGACTGGGCCTAGCTTCTTAAATGGCTACGTTGGAGGCCTCCAGCAAAGAAGGAAAAGGAGAGAAAAGTTGTGTTGGAATTCATCTCTCTGCCCCCTATGCACCCGTAAATAAGATTTAGGAAGATGAAATGGTAGGGATAACTTGCAGACAGTGGCCGGGAGAGCAGCCTGGTCCGTGATCA